ATTCCCTGACAAAACTAGTGTAGATCCTGGCAGAAACCATACTCCCGTTGCAATATCTACAGGAAATCGTAGGTTTTTGAGGGAAATCAGTAGGAATCCCAGCTAGAACGCGGGGTTGAGGGACACCTGTACTTCCGTGGGAGCCACACCACCAGTTCTGGCCTCATCTGCACTCCGGCAGGGTGCTCCTGCAGTGAAAGAGGGAAAAGTAGGGGCGTGACTTTCGCGTTACTTTCCGTGACTTTGCGTGCTGTGTCCGTGCCTGGAACGTGCGGGGCGTTACTTTGCCGTTAATTTTCGTTACTTTGCCTCTGGGGGGCTCCCAGGCAGCCTTGGTGCGAGGTTTGTAGGCTTTCTTCTAAAACCAGTACAGTAGTGGGTCTGGAGACTGCAAACCAGAACTAGTGGGGTCTGGGGGCTTCGAAGAGTAGGAGCTCTAGCTCAGAATCGCCCGGAGCCATGTCTGCAGATGGAAAGCCTGCTACATGCCAGAATTACATGTCATAGGGCTGATGGACATAATCCTGCATGACCTTCGATTCTATACCTAAACTATGGGATTTCTGGTATACTTAGGCCATGCAGAATTTTGTCCATCACCCGTACCCCATAAACCCCCTAAACCCCTAAACCCCCAAGCCCTAAACCCCTAAACCCCATAAACCCCTAAACCCCTTAACCCTTGAAACCCTGAAGCGCCAAAACCCTAAAACCCTAAACCCTAGTACACCTCCACTGTAACTACTTGCTTCTGAATACATGCAAACCGTACCCAGGACTGTATATTGCACTAGTGCGAGTACTATACTTCCAAGAGTGAAACCCCCACAGAGTCCTTGTCATGTCATTCTCAAAAGCCTGTTTCTGCTCATGGTTCTAAAACCCTAAACCCTAAACCCTAAACCTCGAAACCCTAAACTCTATAGTAGCATAGACCTTAGACTGGAAAGTGGAGAATAAGCTTATCTACATGGTATGTGTTATTTCACATTAGTGATATATATGTGTACATAACAAACATCTATTATGATTATATATATCTCTCTCTCTCTCTCTCTCTCTCTCTCTCTCTCTCTCTCTCTATGTATATCTGCACACCTTTCGGAATTCCTGAGGCTGCATCACAAGAGGATTCCTTCGATATGGAGAAGGAATTGATGGATGTGACGAAGCGGGTGAGAGACAGGACGGGGGTACCGGTGAGCTGGACTCCTCTTGCGAAAAGCCCCGACCTCAAGAGATCCCGCCAGTTTTCCCCCGAGATCCTAGAGGGCCCAGGTGCTCTGAAGGCTGTGGCCCCTGGAGGGGCGGGTGCTACGAGCTCCTCTGCAAGAGAGATGGCCCTGGAAGGGCTTCCCCAGCCCGTGCTTGCAGGGACACCCTGCAAGGGAATAGTGCGAGAGGAGGCGCCTGTTCCAGTGAAGCCTCCTTCCCCAGAGAAGCCTGCTCAGCTTAGCCCTCGCGACCTGCTGCCGGATCTGCTTGGTGCTGTGAATGCAGCATCCTGGCTAATTGAAGCATCAACATCGAGCAAGCATTATTTTCTCCAGCTAGACGACAGGGAATCAAGTAGAGGCAGATACTATCCATCATGTGTCGACGGTTGGGTAATGAAGTTTCATGTCTGCCCACGCAGCCGAGGCAGATACTTTGGTAGACCCCGTGCAGGCCGAAGCCGAACCTTGGGGTGTGGAGCAGAGAACAGGACCTGTGGAGCAGACCACAGATCCTAGTGAGAAGGGCGAAGGGCCAGCTGTGGAGCAGACCACAGATCCTGGTGAGAAGGGACAAGGGCCAGCTGTGAAGCAGACCGCAGAACCTAGTGAGAAGGGACAAGGGCCAGCTGTGGAGCAGACCACAGAAAGCGAACTCCGAAGCCTGGACAGTATGACAACCCTGTCATGGGGCCGCAGCTTGGAGAACATCCAGGACCTCCCAGAAACTCCGATGAAGGAGCAGGGCGCAGTGGATCATCTGGTTTTGGAGCTTCGCAGCAGGCTTTTCCGAGCCTTTGGGGACGGGGCTTCCACGCTTGATGAGGAAGGGCAGCGAGTGCTTGGTGACGTCATCGTGGACTGGCTGATGGAGATTGGGAATGAGTTCCCTCCTCTGCAAGCACGAGACGTGCTGAGTCAGTTGGCAGCTGAGTGCCTGGACGCCTTTGCAGACCTCAAGGGCCTGTCTAAGAAGACGACAGAACTCCAGGCTCAGCTGGCAGGCAAAATGGCTCACGCGGACGAGGCTGTGGCAAAGGCTTTGGCCACTGTCATCCAGCATGCCGGCACTACCGGCACTATGGCCAGCAGCTCCATGGTGACAGAGAAGATGGCAGCATGGAAGATGTCCTTGCGACAGGAGGGCATGAAGGAGATTGAGGCGAGCAGGAAGCAAGTCCAGGCGGCAATCGGCCACCTGGAAAAGTCAGCCATGCAGCTGATGAATGCTGCCTATGAGGCCTATGATCAGGAACGCCCCAAGACTGAGGACGAGCTGCTGCAGCAGATGATGCTGCAGGTTGAAAAGCATATGTCAGCTTTGCACATGCATGTGATTCTAATGTGTGTACATCACACGTATGTCTGTATGCCATGTAGATGTATTATTAACATGTGCACTATAAACCCCTGAAACCGCAGGCCCTAACACCCGGCCCTAGATACCAACCCAAAGCCATAAATTCTAATCCCCATACCCTGCAGGAGGCTCCGGGGACTAAAGCGCCACATGAACGTGGCATGCTGCCCGCACCCCCTCCTGATCGCTATGTTGAGCTCCAGCTGGAACTCACACGTTGGGCTTCAGAGCCTGGACTCCACCATGATGGAGGCTCTCAGGGATCTATATAAAACGTGATTCATGAGCACAGTCTGGCACGACACATATATGGTATGTACGTACATACATATCATATACATACGTTAAAGCTGTGATGGTGAGCACATGTATAATTAGTATACCTATATATATACACATATATATATGCTTCTAATTTAACACTGTCTGTTAACTTTCCTGTTAACACCTCCTTCTAGCGAGAACTACTGACAGAACACACATATCTAACTACTCGCAGTGTGGTGCTGCTGCCAGGCACCATATACCTTACAGATTTGTCTGCATGCTGAGTACAGTGTATAATACAATGCCATTCTTAATGTCCTGTCTCAGAATCTGTGGAGGTAGACCAGCCATTCTGTCGAAGTGCTTAATGGCTAATATTGCCATATTCTCATGTGTAGTGCAGCAGTGCAACAGTATAGTAGTAGCAGTTGTAGTCGAACTTGATGCTCATGTAGCAAATGCAGCAGCAGCAGGACAATAGCAGTAGTGATACATCTATGACTGAAAAGCGTAGCATGCAGACAAGTAGTACTAGTTCTAGTACCAAGACTAGTACTACTAGTAAAGCAGTAGTAGTACTCGAAAGCCAGGCTCTATCTGCCTTGTGGACTACTTCACGGGACCTTAAGGGACTATCATAGTGATCCAGTCTCCCATTCCCTACTAAGAACCAGGTCGTCTCCCTCTGTCGGTGTTTACCCATGCACGAACCCTTAAAAGCAGGGAACCCCATTACCACTTAGGGTTTAGGGGTGTAGGGGTTTATCCTTTTAGGGTTTAGGGTTTAATGTGTACTCGCTAGTAGTACTAGTCGTAACTGTAGCAGTGGTAGTAGTAGTAGTAGTGGTAGTAGTAGTCGTAGTAGCAATAGTAGCAGTACTATGCAGATCCAATTCCCTCGGTTCTAAGTTCATCCTAGTCTGTAATACCATCGAATAAAGTAAACCCGCATCCCAGAACCTTGGTAGTACATGTACAGGCAAGCAAGATCAATGAGATGCTGCAGTACGGCTTGCTGTTGCAACGCAATGATGGCAGCTACGAGACCCCTGATGAGCGGGATCGGAGACTTGCTCACAACCAGCGGATGCGGTTCAACCGGAGTTTCGACAGTGCCATTTCATGATTAACAGGTCTTTGACTATGTTTGACTCATCGCCAGCTAAACCTAGATATGCCTTAGGATGGATAATACTTAGCTGTTGTATGTTGGTTTAACACCTGAAACACTTGGGCTTTCTGCAAACTTGCAATATGAAACCAGTAAAACCTAATCCATCTAGCGACGCATCTCATATACATATGAATGTGCTTTAGTTTCACATATTTGGCTGTCTGACTACATAGCCACCAAGAACCTTCAATTATTTTTTATTACTATTAGCTATATCCTGAAACCCAAGCCCAGCCCCAGGCCCGCTCTGCCCGCAGCCCGTGCTGGACGCCGCCAAGGGGAAGAAGTACAGCTACCTGATGGGAATCATGAGTTAGGCTAGCCTATTGCTTCTCTTAAGGGTTTGGGTTCTTACCTTATAACAAGCTTCGATGAAGTGTTGCATCTTGGCATCTGAGATCGTGCAATCATTGCTCGATTGTTCGAAGAGTGGGTCCAGGCATCCGAGAACTGGGCAGAGTCTTCGATCGTTTTCAATGCATCTATCTCGAAGACCCAGAAGCGCCGAGGCAAGTATGTCATGAAAACCTTTAAGGATCTCAAGACGCTTTACGGAAGTGCATCGGCAAAAGCCATCCGTGAACGCAAGAAAGAGCTTGGGTCCGAGTGGTGGTGGCCCCACCCTGAAATGGGTGACAGCGAGGACATTACAAAAGAGCCTAGCTCTTACATACACATGCAATGTGTACATGTACATACATGTATATACATATATATATATACATATATGTAATATGACATATGTGTATAAATGTATATATATATATATAACATGTCTGTGTCTGTATATAAAGCATGTAAAGATATATAGGTTTGTATACACAAACACTCTATATATACACCCACAATAATATGGTTACACCCTTCAGATGTGATCGCTCTTTGTTATCAAAAAAACCTGTAGACATGCAGCTAGCACTAGACACCACAATTCCAACCACACATCCCCACACCCTAAATCCTAAACAGTAAAGCCTCAAAGCAGGACTGGGAGTGCTTCAAAGTCTACGATTCCATGGAGTTCGAGGATGACGAGACAACGACACAGGAACACCAGTTCCGGGCGGAGGGAACTCTCGATGCTGCGGCTACGGAGGCTCTTGTGTGCCGCGACTTGAGAGGTCCTCTATTGCGGGGTCGGGTTTAGGGCAGAGGGGTACCCCTAAACCCTAAACCCTAAACCCTCAACCCCTAAACCCTAAACCGTCCTAAACCCTAAACCCTGAACCCATTGAACACCTAGCCTTCCATTCTTGCAGAATTGGGCTCTGGGGATGAGTACTTTAGTAGACACCCAGAAATGAACTGCTTTGTGCTGCATGCTAATTATAGCTAAGGGGACACTTCCATCAGCCGGGTGCCCCTGCCAGCTCGAGCTACAAGGTGGGACCAGTGCAGCCTGCCAGGCCGCTGCCGACACCACCGAGCACCCCCGGTGGGCCGGGGGATGGAGGGCAAAATCCAATCCCAAAGGGCAAGGGCAAAGGCAAGGCGCCCTCACTTCGAAAGGCCGCTACATCCAAGCTTAGCCAGATTTCTTCGAAGTTGGCTGAAGCACGAGTTCTGGCTGCCGATCTGCCTACTGCCTCGCAGTTGCCCCTCACCTACAAAGACAGGTTAGTCTGAATAGGTGGCCTCCTTGAAGGATCCTACTTAATTAGTGTGGTTTTTCAATTTGCTGACGAAATGTAGGGGCAGTATAGCACAATCCCAGCCCTTGTAGAATCACTAAATCCCTAAAGCCCAAAGCCCTGCAGCCTGCAATGTTGTTCGCAAGAATGGGGTACATTAATATCGCACTGATGTTGGAGTCTAAACTTAACTAGATAATGCCGTCCGACTTCTACGACAATAACAACGTACACATCCTGGGGACTTCGACTAAAACCCGGTTAGGCCGAATGCTGAAATGGTTGTACCCTGCCTGACCGCAGAAACCCTTCGAGCTTAAACCTCCAGACTCTCTCTCTCTCTCTCTCTCTCTCTCTCTCTCTCTCTAAATAAATATATATATATATACATATATATATATATTGTGTACACCAAACCCTTAACCCTAAAACCCTAAACTCGAAACCCTAATATATAATCTATATCTAGAACCCCTTTGCTCAGGTCCGAGAAGATGAAGGAGGGCTACGAGCAGGAGCTCTCCGAGGGCAAGAAGGCAGTGGAGGATGCTAGAGCACAGCTCGAATCATGGTACTCCCGCAAGCTTGAGGATTCGGAGATTGTGCCCTGGTTCTAGACTCGATGTATCTATGCATACAATATATTTCTAACTGTAGTCAGTTCGTGCTATTATTATGTCCCCTCCTAAACATGAATTATATCTGAGGTGGGCGAGGAGAGAAACGTGTACGACCAGGTCATTCGGGCCGTGGACAGTGCATTTGTGGTGCTTGCCGGGAAGATGAAAGCTGTGAAATCCGCAACGGTAGCTAGGCCTCAACTAGTCTAGGTTCAGTGTGGACTAGGCATGGTGCTGCATGCTTTGATCTCTAGCTACAGATGTGTCCGAGGCACCCCCGAAAGAAAGCAAGGCGAAGGCCAAGGCCAAGGCTGCCAGGAGCCGCTGATCGTGAGCAGGTGGCAATGCCTGCGAGGTGTCTCCGACGATGGGTAGGCTATCGGACCTCTCGAGATAGTGTATCTGGAGGAGTTTTGGCACCAATTGTGCCATGGTCTTTCAAGCAGCCAGGTTGTGGCAGTCTACTTTATAAGTGTATGTATACACAGCCATTGTCCTCTGAAACTCGGAGCTCTAATAGGCTTGAGGGTTATAGGGTGTGAGGCTTTAGGGCTAGTGCTTCGACATGCAAGTTACATAGAAGCCGGCTACATTCATAGGAAGCTGCTGCTGCACTGTGCTGCTCGGATGAGCCATAGGCGATTTAAGCTTGGCTTGCATTGGCTAGGATGCCAAACCTTTCAAAACCGAAGCTGCCGCAGCTGAAGCGCCGCGACCCAAAAAGATTTAAATGCCACCTAAATATCTATGTGTAGTGCTCCTGTGTTGTTGAACAGCAATGGTTGATCAGCTTACACTGTATGTGAGCAAGCTGTCCCCACGTAGGTCGCTCTTTGAGCACTCCTTTGCACGCCTATGTCATGAGGAGCATCGGCAAAGGGGCTACCCGCTTGCATATAATTAGTGTCCAAGCCATAATACACTAAAGCAACCCCAAAGATCCTAACCATAAATCCTAATTTAAACCCTATACCTCATCACATATGATGTTCCCTTAAACCTTCATACCTAATGCTGTAACCAAAAAAGAAAAGTGCTAGGTACACAAAGGCCGTCCCAGACACCACCCATCCCAACATCATGCCCGAAACATCAGATCAAGATTCAATTTGCAGTGAAGTTGGCTATCCCACATGTGAAGTACTCTTGAATGCCTCTGCCTTCCCCCAGCCCTGAAACTGCCGCCTCTGCTGTGTCTGTCGTCCTGGGCCTGCATCCAATCCGAGGGAACTTCGTTTGTGGGCGCCCGGGAGATGCTGGAGGCTGTGAACGCCGAGTTTAAGGGCTATGGCATGGAGCTGGGTGGGGCTGCAGGTGAGTTGATCTCGACTTCAGGGAAGTGGTCTAGCAATGTCCAGCGGGATATGCTCCGAAAGTGCAAAACTGCCAAGGTGTCTTAAATGCATATGCACATCACATGTGGGTCATTGGCTTTTCGATTTCTGCTTGAACTCATTTGCTACTTAAGGTTGCTGCTGCATCCGAGGTTCCGGTTACAAAGTTGCAGGTCCCGGTGATCACAAAGGGTGTGCTGATGAAGCGGTTCCTTACCTCTTCGATGTTTTGGATCGGCCTAGAGCCTTGTGATCCAAGGCAACTTCCTGTGGTGCTACCACATGAATTGTTTCCTTGGCTGGTGCGACATGGCATTATCCCACTGAATGACACGGATGAGATTAGAAAGTTCTGGTCGCACGCTAGAACGGCAGGGATGCCGACAATGGGGGCCACAGACTACCATATCCCTTTATACCTCTGGGGAGATGATGCCCGGTTTACAGAGACACATGAGGATAAGCTTGTGGTGGTGGCCTTTGGGAGGGTGCTTGAGACTTCCAAGAATGCCCTCCGCAGTGTCTGGCCACTGTTTGTGTATCAGCAGGCGGGGAATTCCAGCTAGCTAGTTTTTTTCCTAGGTGATCATCGCTGTTACAAGACTGGAAATCATATGCAACACATCATAAACATAATACCCTTACAGACTGATAGGACCGAAATTCTCAATAGTGTTCCAAGCAAGACTTGATCGGATGGCCTAGTTTGTTTTTTGTGTTCTTCTCGGGTTTAGGGTTTGCCCTAACCCCCTTAGCACCTAAACCCCTAAACCCTAGACCATCAACCCAAAACCCCTAAAGCCTAAACCCACAAATTTAGAGCTTTAGGGTTTAGGGTGTCAGGTTCGGGGGGCCGGGGGGCCGAGGCTTCTTCAATGTAGCTTTCGTTCTGGACCCGAGATGCGATGCTGCAATACCCGAACACTTATCCCGAAGCTATACCTGCAATTCAACCTTGATCATAAACATGATGCAGTTACCTTACCCTGAGGGGCAGAGCGCCGGGCCTGGCACGCTCAATACCTTCATGGAGGAGGCCCTTTGGCATTTCATTAATAAGGCTCGTGTACATGGACCATGCATGGAAGCCTGGAGGGCATCTAGATCTAGTCAGCTAGGGAAACTTTAGGTGGTCAAGTCCTTCAACATCCTCTTCGAGCAGGGTGTTGTGGTACAGACTCCCAATGGCGACATGAAACGTGTCTATGCGGCGGTTGTCCAATACCAAGGAGACTGGAAGTGGCACAAGGCCTGACATTAATCTCATCCAACCTGTGTTAAGCCTGCATACTAGAAGTTTATATCGTAAATTCCGGAGCATGCCTCCGTCCCATGCACGGTGGTGGCCACGAGGGTGAAGAGGGTGCAAAGGGAGAGGGGGGTGGCAGATTCTGCCACCCCCCTCCCCCTTTGCACCCCCTTGACCTGGGACAGACTGTGGTAGCTTTCGAAACTCATCGGCCAAAGCTGCATCGCAAAATCCTTTAATACTTAGAGTTCAGGTCGAGCATACCGAACTGCTGGGGATATGTAGCTCATGATCAGCACACAATCACTAGTACGTGTACTGAACTGCAGCACGAATCTGATGATGACAATTCCGGTCTGTGCACTCACTACATCGATGCGATCATATTGAACCATAGTAATTATTATATATTAATATTATTCGACACTACCCCACCCCCTAAAACCATGTCTCCTTGCCCCCCCCCCCAGTCCTGTCTTATGTAGGCCAATACCTACAATTCTCTGAACCATCCTGATCCAAAAAAAACAAAGACCTCAAACACATCAGTGTTGTAAACCTATAAGGGTGAGGGTTTAGGATTCTGGGTTTAGTATTTAGGGTTTTGGGTTCTGGGGTGTAGGGTTTACCTTTAGGGTTTGGGGTGTTGGGGTCTGGGGTTTAGGGTTTGGGGTGTAGGGTGTAGGGTTTAGGGTCTAGGGTTTAGAGTGTACTAGTTTTGCATGTTAGCACCCTTTCCCGTCAACCCCTAAACACCTAAACCCTAACACCCCAAACCCATTCAGGAATGGCTTGCTCTCAAAGTGGGATGGAATTGCAATTCAGTCTGCCATCACTGCAAAGCCCACAAGAGCAATTACGCATCCGTGCCGGGCAACCTTGCTGAAAGGCGAGATCGAGGAAACTTCGAAGCACACGCCTGCCGCAAGTCGGAGTGTGACCGGCTGAAATTTCACTTCACTTAGTAGGGGCTACTCTATAGGGCTTGATACTATGGGTGTGAGGGTTGCCTCCAAGGGCTTCTAATCCCAGCAAAATACCGAGCCCCAGCTAAGAATCCAATTAAATATAAAAATCAACCCACACCCTATACCCTCTAGCTACGTACGAACATTATAACAGCGAGTTGGGAAAGGCTCCTTGCTACGTCTCATGAACTTCTCTCCGGAGTACGTTCGGTGGTGTGGCATGCACACCCTGAACTTGGGGCTGGTACAGTCCCTCGTGGGGTCGGCTCTGAAGCAGATGGTGGGCGAGAGACTTTGGGGCAATCGCTCTGAGGAGGAGCAGCTTGAGGCTGCTTTTGCGGAGTTTGATGCCTGGAGCAAAGCCCACCGAATCCCGCAGCTCGTCTTAAACTTCTGTTCGGTAGCATAATATACTGTTGCATGTACAATCGCAGTCTGATCATTATATCGACAAACTCAGTCATAGCCAGCCGGGCTTCAAGATGTCCAACCTGGATCGGTATCCCGTGTTCCAATGCAAAGCTTACAATGCAACTCAGCTGGTATTACTCATGTCGTGTGTTGGAGAAAACAATATCTAAATCCTATACTGCATTATCTATGACCCTGGTGATGCAGGGACGTGTGGTGGTTGCATGGCTGGCCAACAAGTCTGTGCAGCACGTGGAAACGGAAGGGCAGCATCTTTTGGCGACCTCCTTGTGCATTGACTACAATTTCAGTCTTCACAATTAACATGTTGCTTTTCCTTTGCAGGTATAAGTAATGTCGTCTTGTGGTTGAACCCAAGCCCTTTCTGTTCGAGGCCGTGTGAGCCTTTAGACCCAGACCACTTTGAATTTGTAGACGAATTATCTTATTAAGTACCCTTGTAGCTCCGAAACACTCCCAAAGCCCAAGCCACCAGCTCCCGATCAATGTAAACCCCGACCTTCCAGATAAGTGAAAGCCCTCAACCTCAAACCCTAAACCCTAAAGGCCCTAAACCCTAAACCGTAAAACCTGCTGTTCTACAAAATAAACACTGAACCTCCACATATGTTAATTTGAACGTTATGTTTTAGCTCTAAGCACCCCCTAAACCTTCCAAGGAACCCATACAAAGCCGACCCACCGACTCCACAAGGTGGCACCTTGCAAGCTGGTTCAATGTCAGCGAGCGCTGCTCCCGCTACCTGACGGTCGAGGAAGCCAGCAGGCTTCACCGTGCATGTGTTTCTTGGCTTCGGAGTGGCTTCTGGTGTGGTTGGTAGAAAATCTAGAATTTCAAGCATTGATTGCAATGCTTTTGCAATTGAGGATTGCTCTTTGGATGCCTACCTACAGCTGGCACAGCGAGCTGTGACTGAGAAGAAATGTCTCTTTCCGGTGAAACCAAAGTTTCATGTCATGCTCTCAGATTCCAAGATCTCATGAACGAGTATGCTGGCTTCAGTCAAGTTGCATACATCCTCTGACTAGTCTTAGGGCCCAACTTATTCAAAATCTCTACCCAGGGATGGCAGGAGATGGCATTCTGGGCTGTGAAGCACCGTAACTTGCCTACAAGAGGATATTAACTTCTGGATTGCATGCTGAGCAAGGGTATGTTTTCCTCACATTGTGAGGTATCAATCCGCGAACCTATCACTGCTTCAGGCAGGAGGACATGGTAGGATGTATGGTGAGTTCGGATCTTAGCTGTTGACTTGTGTACTGTATAGGCGAATTGTCAGTACGCAGACAGAATCACATGGGATACTGGGCCAAGGAATCGCAGAGGCTTGCCACAAGAGATCGGTCGAGGAGATGAGTTTGGCCCGTGTGTATCTTCAGCTCTGTTACTCAAAGGGTACCGGTGGCTCTGAATGTGTCGAGCTTGCAAGCTGTAGCCTATAGGAAGGTAGAGGGACTCGTAGGGTTAGGGTTTAGGGTTTACGGTTGAGTTCAGGGTTCGGGGTTTAGGGTTTAGTTTAAGGTTCAAGGACCCGTAGGTTGAGGGTTTAGGGTTTAGTTTAGTTTAGGGTTTAGTTTAAGGTTCAAGGACCCGTAGGTTGAGGGTTTAGGGTTTAGTTTAGTTTAGGCATTAGGGTTTAGGGTTTAAGGTTTAGCTTAGTTTAGGCTTTAGGCTTTAGGGTTTTGCAAGGCTGCCGTAAGCTCGATCCCTTTAATTATATGCCCAATGAGGGTATGCCCTCATGTGCCTCCAGCAGTCGATGTCTGCGAACCGGCAAAAGCGCCATGGACGAGGTGGGACCCTAGCTATATAATTAATGCTTCCCCCTCCCCAAAGGCTTGCCTAGCCCATGTGTTATATTAGTTATCTGTGCCCAAGCTTTCCAACCTAGCCCGGCTGAAAACCAGGATGCCTCCTGCTAAGATCTTTCAAGTGTACAATTGTATGCCCCCTTGGGACACAAAAGGCCTGAGGCCCGCACCTAAACCCTAAACACTTGATCCCTTAAACCCTCAAGCCCTGAAACCCTTAAGCCCTAAACCCTTGAACCCTTGAACCCTTAAACCCTTAAACCCTTAAACCCCAACCCTTGAACCCTTAAACCCCAAAACCCTGAACTCTAAACCCTTAATCACTCAGCCCATGAACCAACGGGCTCCTTTAAGGATGCTTCCGATGTTGGATTGTGTTTCAGTGATTTCGGGCTGAAGCTGTGGGATTTGTTGGGCCTAAACCGCCTAGGGGCTTCGGGCTTCAGGCCGCAAGCTGCAGGACTTAGCCTTGGCATCAACATAGCCCCTACAGCCTTTAGTGGGTCTTTGAGCCCAAAAGCCTCAAAATCTGAGTCCTTGGAGGTTTCAGGGTTTGGGCAATCAGTCTATCGGGTTTCAGGGGTTCCGGTTTCGCACCTGAGGCCGACGGCTTTCTGTGTGATGTGTGTGTGTGTGTCTGTACATGTGTGTGTGCTACTCGAAGATTCAAGGCTACAATACCGAGCCCCCCCCCCCGGGAACACGCAAGCTTGCTCTTCAGGGGCATAGCAAGATCTAACTATGTAAATCGCAACATTCGGTGGCTGAAGTGCATAGCCGGAGCATGTCACGGGTTTTCTTGGTAACCTTATATTATAAATATATAGCTAGTTCTACTTTCTCTCGCTCTCTCTCTCTCTC